GTTCCAAGAGGTTGTAAATGCCTTTTGCTGACAAACATCACATGGGATGAAGGGCAAGGTGCTCTCTGGACTAAAGGACACTGTAGAACTGCAGGAAATCCTGGAAAAGTACTGGGCAGTCACCCCCAGACTATGTTCCTTCTCCTGCAAATTTTGACTTGGAAACTTTAGATATAACACCTCATAGCAGCTCTCCTGCTTCAGAAAGAAAGAGAGAGAGAAAGAAGGAAAATGGGGAAAGATAAGATAGAGGAAGGAAACAAAAAGCAGGTGGCTGCAAAGCACGCTCCCTGACACATTTGCAAAAGAAGATAATTCGGAATATGATGCTGCGCCGACTGGTAGAGGCCAGTAGACAAGGAGCTCACAGGGAAGGGAGGAAAGACATCAGTGTCACTACAGAATTACAGTCTATTTTTCTGAGAGGCTAACATTGAGGCCTTCTGTTCTGCGTTGTGAACTTGTGACCAAATTCATCGTAGATACTGAAATGCACACTAAAGCTACAGAAGTTGTGTAGCTTGGGCCCGCTGAGCTACATTTCTTGCTGGAAGATCTCTCCCACAATTTAGATAATATGCTGACACCATCTCTTACCAAGAGAAACCCATTTCTCAAGAATAAAGGAAACCAGAATATTGGATTCTCACATCTCCATCAGAGGTCTGCCCCAGAAATTGTTCATTGTGTTGTTCAACTGCTGAACCTGATGTGTAACCATCTGGAGAACACAACTATTTCCAGTGCTTAGTTGCTGAGGATCATGGTGAAGTTGATGGCCAGGAGTGAAGGCTCATGAGTACCACATAATGGCTTCCTGTTGTCAGAGCCCACTGCAAATTTTTCGTGGATTTTTTGCTTGGAGTGGAATTTTTCACATTGGAAATCATAATTTACTGTACTTAGCCCTCGAGGTCCTCACTAGCTGACTTAAGCAAATAGAACACAAGCAGCCATTGGAGGAATTGGTCAGTCAGAGTTTCAGTTACTTGCAGAATTTTCATCCCAGCATTTTTAGTTTCCAGTGAGGTCTTTAGTTCAGCAGATTTTCAATGGTACTTTTGGAGAAATCTATAACTCCTGCTCTGAAGAAAGAAAAAATTGCTTCCCTGGCCAAACAGTACCTCTGTCCAGTGTGGTCACATGGGGAGAAAAAGAAGAACAGCTTCTTTAGTGAGCAGCTGCATACATGATATACTTTGCATCTACCTGGAGCACACAGACAATGTTCTGAAAGCCATAGTGGAGATTACTAGTATTGGTGTCCCAGAACTGATCAACTCTTCAAAAGGTGCATCTTCCGCTACATTCCCTTCCCTGAGAAGGCACACCTTTGTCATTTTTTTTCCGCGTGATAATGCTGAACGTGAGAAGACAGTGAAAGATCTCCAGGCTAGCACAGCAGCAGACTCAATAGCAGATTCACGAAGAGAAGCTCCTCTGCTGGAACATGGCTATTTGAGACTTCAGGGTCCTCATCAAGCTTATGAAAGTATTTGATAATCATCATATTCTGCATGTATGTTTGAAGTGTGGGCATCTCTTTGTGGAAGCATTTCTGAAGCAATGTATGGTCACTCCTAAACATCAGTTTTTGAAAACACCAGTGTGCTGAGCTTACTGGAAAATTTCCAGCTGGATGTGAGGCTGCTTCACCACCTGTATGAGCATTCCAAGATTCACCAGGACATGAGACTCATCAAACATGTGCTCAGAAAAACCCTGGAGCTCTAAGTAGTTTGCAGAGTCAAAGCCATGCTAGTCCTCATCAATTGCAGAAAGGCTTTCTGGCTGGACAGTCTTAAAAGCTGGGACTTGCAAGGTGAAGAGATTATGTCCCAGAATTCCCAGGAAAGCACAGCAGATGAGAGTGAGGGTGGCATGTCGTCCAAGATTACTAAGAGCACAGCAACAGAAGATGGTGAAGTAAATGAAGCAAGTGATGGAGAAAGGAGCCATATAGTAATTAGAGTGATGACAGCTCTGATTAGCTCCTCAGAGGCTGCTGCCATCTTTCCCTTCTCTGCCAGCTTCTTCCCATTTTGTGTTCAGGGTTTGAAATATGCTCTTTCTGTTTGGAGGTATCCTGTTTTGTATTCTAAGAGGGGGTTTATTTAAATAGTGTGTGGATTTCACAGATTGTCTAGCATAGTCAAAGTCCCAGGGATCCCAGGGAAGCATTATTTCTGGTTTGGATATATGTGGCTGTGCTATGCTGCATAATAAACTCTCTGAGCCATGATTCTGGGTTTTGTGAACTAGTTTTGAAACTGATTTATTCTAGAATTTAGGCTTACATCACTTTAACAAATAAATTCTAAGTTTTGCCTTTAAAAAAAAAATAATGTGAGGAACTAGGGATTCAAAGATAATCAGCACCCAGCATTTTCACTTCATCTTTTTTATTTTTTAATTTTTTTCAATAGCTTCATTCTCTTTTGCCGTTGACCAGCTTCTTCAACATAGCAAGAATCATGGCCACCATATTTTTAAATTGAGCTTAAATTGATAAATTCTAGCTTTAGCTTTTTGGATAAAAGTCCCAAGAAGATAGCTATTGTCTGGGTGTCTGCTATGGATCAATTAGCAAGATTTGTGAAAAGGTAAAAAAGGAATAAATCAGAATTACAGCCATGTTAAGGTAAGGAGGAATTCCCAGGAAAAGAGATGTATAAGTTAGGCAAACAGTTCCCAAGAGCTGTTTTACTTATATACTAAAATATAGTGAGCATATTAAATTTAAAACACACACACATACACACACCTTAGTGGTTTAAAAGAGGTTAAACTTAGTTGACATCAGAGGAAGTTAAACTGATATCTGAGCTCTTTTCCTGTACCTTTTCATATCTTCTTTGAGCTGTTTTTGGAGTTTTGGTTTTTTTTTCCAGATTTCTAGGTATGTGTATGTGTATTTCATGTCTGCTTTTGTTCCAGTTACGTTGTAGTCTCATTGAGGATGATGCCAGCAAGACTAAGTAAACTATGTGTAATAAAATCTGTGATTCTCCTACATGGGGCCTGTTATGTTCCAGGCATTAAAAAAAAAAAAAAAAAAGATGGTGAATGAACAAATTTCATTAATAAAAGGAAAAGTGTACCTGGTGTTAAATAAAAAGATTTGTTTCTTAAAAAGTTGGCATCTCTCCCTCTACAGTTTACATGAATTTTCATTTAAATTGACACTTAGGCAAAATGATTCTGAATTAATTGATAGGAATAGTTTTGAAACATTTTAAAGATGTCTGTAATATGGCAAGGTGGTGCCAACATTGAAGTTTATAAAGCTTTAATAATTAAAAAACTTTCATAATATTAAAAATGCCAAAATAGATGAAAGCTCAGAAACTGTCTTGGGGAAGTAGATATGAATAATATTTCTATATATCAGTATATGCATGAGTTTAGTATATGATAAATTTGATGTGTAAACTTATTCCTCCAATAAAAATATTTTACTTAATATTTAAATATAAAAATGTATGAAACTAAGAATAACGAAAGAAGAAAAGATATAAAGTTTTTCTAATGTGAGATTGGGTTCTACATATAAAGTAAATACATAAAAAGTAGAACTTGAGAAAATACTAGATAAAACTATATGAAAAATCAGAAAACCTATATATTAAAATAACAATAAATACCAAAACTAGGGTTAAAGGAAGACAATAAAATAGAAGGAAGGAATCTTTTTCCCATAAGAAAGGATAAAGGAAATTCTTGGAAAAGAGAAAATTAGCCAAAAATGTATGCAAATATATTTAAACTTTAATTGGTAAGCCAGATAACCAGAAATGTCATGTTTTTCTTATCAGAATGGCATACATTTTATAATTAAGTCTGTTGGCAAAGACATACTTCTGATGAAAGTATAAATTGTTGAAATCACTTTTGAAGGTACTCTGTTTCAGGAGTCTTTAAAAAGTGACCATTTTTTTACTAAGAAGTTAACTTAATTTTTTTGTTTTTATTTATCAAAAGGACTATCTGATTATATGAACAAGTGTTCATTGTTTAAAAAGCTAAAATTAAAAGCGAAATTTAGAAATATTTTCATCTCAATTTATCTCACATATGTAGAAAAAGATTGAAAGAACCAAAAATGACAGTTGTTCTCTCTGGGTAGTAGTATTATTAGTTATTCCCTGTAGTTTTTACAATGAATGTGTATCATTGTCTAGAGTCAGAAACTTTCGAGAAAGTGTTTACAGAGTGCTTACTTTTTTTTTTCTTAAATGAAAAAAAAATGCAGATTAAATAAAGTCCTTTGTATGCTTGACTGCTTTAACTCTATAAGTGGAGTCTACATGTGATCCTATAAATAACAGAAAAAAAGATTCAGACAATTCATATGTACTTTGGGACAGTTGTATGAATTTCTCCATGATCAGCCAAATTTTTTGGACCATATTTTAAAATCCTTGAAATGTTTCTATCATAGTTATGGGGTTTTTACTCTTTACTTAGAACATTTCAGAGACTCAAAAAGATATCTTAAAAAGGATTTTTTATTTTTTGAAATATGTGTTTAATTGTCCTAAAGAAAAATTAAATAATTTTATGTATCAATACATTTTTAACAAAGGAAATATTTTTAATAATTTACTTTTATTTTAAGCTTAATTGAACTGCATAATAGATTAAATCTTTTGAGAAAATTAAAAATTTCCTACACACTATAAACTTGATTTTTATTATAATTTTCTGCATTTTCAACTTATTTGTAATTTCATATAATATTCAACCAGAATAAATTAACACTAAAATTGGAATAAATTCTTTTACAATTTCATGTTTATAGGCTATTAAAAATAACCAATAAACAACTTGAGTAAGAAAAAAAACAAGATTTTTTTTTTTTTGGGGGGATAATGATTAGCATTTGTTGTTCCCAAAGAATGATTCTCCATTGGACCCAGTCATCAATTTTTTTTCTATTTTTTTCAGTGATTTTCTTCATACCTATTGTTATATTATGGTATTTGCTTTATACTTGGCAGCCATCTTTTCTGCTCTGAAGAATCTTCAAGATAAGATCCGTCGCTTGGAACTTGAAAGGATTCAGGCAGAAGAAAGTGTAAAAACCTTGTCAAGAGAAACCATTGAGTATAAGAAAGTACTGGATGAACAGATTCAAGAAAGGGAGAATTCAAAGAATGAAGAATCAAAACACAATCAAGGTTTGTTTAATTCTGAAGGAATTAAATTCTGTCAAAATAAGTATTGTAAAATTATTCTGAAACTCCAAATTAGCACTTTCTAGTGTACATGGTCTTCAAAACAAAATTACATTATATTCCAGGTGCATTTTAAGGAGTAAGTGCTGACTGATGTCATGCATTGTATTTACTATAAGGTAGATTTGACCAGCATATAGAAGTCAAAAAAAGCTTCTAGAGCAACTGCAAAGTAATTCAAAAAGTCTTCTAGGGCCACTGTGATATGCCATTTATATTGTAAACACCGTAGATCCCATTCCTGTTAACTGCATGTTAAAACTATTCTATAGGTGAGCTGATTTCTACTTTTCTTATGTATTCATTTTAGAACTGACATCCCAGTTATTAGCTGCAGAAAATAAATGTAATCTTTTGGAAAAACAATTGGATTACATGCGAAATATGATAAAGCATGCAGAAATGGAAAGGACATCTGTCTTAGAAAAACAGGTATGGCACCTCACAGACTGATACTCAAGAATGGAACAGTTCTTCAGAAAATTCATTTAAATTGAATTTTTTTCTCAGGATGAATTATGCTGTTATAATAGCCTAGAACTGAAACTTCTTGACATAAGTTATGGTATTAAAAGGTTAGATTGGCTCTTTTTGCTGTTATTGTATTTGACAAAGTTTTAAATTGGGAAAATACTATAGTTAGTTATGAGATATTTTAAAGTCACAGTAACATGGTCTGCATTATAAAAAGTGTAAGTAAGCATTTAACTCTCTGAACCTCTTTAATATGTTTAAAGAGTCAAATGAAGCAAATTTGATGGTTCATGATTCTTTTATAACTCTTTACAATTGTTATTTTAACAAAATATTTCTGTTGTGTTACACCAGAGGTCTTTCATGTTTAAGTGACTTGCACATTTGTGAGAAGATGTTAGCATCTTCTATCTACAACATATTTTTTAAAGCATCCCTCTTTTTCCTGCTGTGACTGGAATTTGAATTTATCATGAACACCATGACTTCTGAATATCTTCACTTTATTCACAGTTAGTTTACATGCTTGACATGAAAGGTGCTTTACAGTATAAAAGAGAAAAAGTATATATGCTTTCAGTTGTAGTTGTAGAGGCCAAACTTGGAAATATCTGAAAAATCATACAGCAGTATTTGAAAGGATGTCTCATACATATTCTACATCTCTTCACTGTGCTCCTGAGTTTATTATGGTGACCAAGTATTTTTGTTTCTAACTGGATGAAAAAGTTCTATCCATTCATTTTTGCTCTTTTAGTGTACTATTATTCTATGGTTTGTATTTCTTCCTTTGATCTATTTAAGCACTAAACAATTATCAGTTTTTAAAAAATTATTTGACATTTTCACAAGTTAATCTTTTTGGTTCATCTACTCATTCCCCCTTCTGGTGTTTTCTTTAGGGGGGCATTTATTTTCTTTCTTACAGCAAACTTATATTCTTTGGAGTTTTGTTGGAAATTCCACACTTTCTAAATTATGTGGGCAGCCTTTATGAGGCAGATGTGCATTTGCCTTTGCTGTCATTTAAATGGGTTTTGCTGATTTGAGGCCAGATTTTAGTTACTATATTGGTGTGGTATTCTTGATCGTTGAGGTTTATACCTGATTACAGGAAGAAGATATCAGTACAGCAGTTAAGGTAGTGAGTTGCCCAGGTATAAACCTGCCCATCTTATATGCCAAATCTCCTGTACTGCCTCATGTGATATTTGACTTCAGTATTCCTTTATTTGCTTTTGGTTCTATGTAACACTTTATTATAATTTGCTGTGTTTTATCTAACATTTCTGTGACAGGTGGGGTAAAGGGAAAGGGTATTGGTTTATTAAGAAAACTTTTGAGATATCTTGACTAATGTACCTGGAAGATAAGTAGTAGACAGAGAATAAATATCTTGATTATAGTTGTTGATTCATCAGTAAATTTTAAATACCATTTTTAATAAAGGTAGTTTAATAGAAATGGCACCAATACTGGAAGTAAAGTGTGGTTTGTGCTAATTTTTAAGTTAGTGTATTCTTCAAGAGCTTCAGATATGCACCAGAATGTATAGAAGGAAATTAGTAGTTCACACAAATTAATGATAAATTATTACCTTGTATTGTTTTTGTCTTTTTCAAAGTTCTTTTAGTATGATTACCTATTGTCATTGACTTGCATATGAAGATACAGTGTTTAAAGTTCAGGTACTTAGCTATGACTTTCTTTTAATAGATCTTAATTTACTATATTTCCGCTTCTTACCCTAGTAAATGGTTTACCCTGTCACTTTTGGTCCTTAAGTACATATAGAAAGCAGGCTTTTCAAACCTCTTACTCTAAATTTGAAGTAAAGAAGATTAAAAAAGAAAAAACATTTTAAATGAAATTTGGAGAGAATCTAAAAAGACACAAAACCTCTAATTATTGCCTTAATTAAGAGATTAACTACTTAAGAGTACCAAACTAATTGGTAATACTTACTATTTGTGCATTTACATGGCCTGTATGTCCAGGAAATCCTTGCTGTCCCGGGTGTAAAGACAGTCTCACTATGTAAAACTACATGTATATAAAATAATCTACAGGAACAACAATATTCCCTTCAAATTATAAACTCATTATTTTATTCCCCGTGGTTTCAACCTAGTGTTATGTTCCTAGAACTTCTCTGTATCTAAGTAGTTCTCTGAAAGGCCAGACAAAAAGCATACTGTGTATTCAAAGATATTCTCAGTGATAATTTCTGGTTTTTTGATCATCAAATTATCATACTGTATTTAATAATATTTTCCAGGTTTCCCTAGAAAGAGAACGACAACATGATCAAACACATGTTCAAACCCAACTTGAAAAACTGGATCTTCTTGAACAGGAGTATAACAAACTTACCACAATGCAGGCCCTTGCAGAAGTCAGTGAATGTATCTTTTACTCAATGCATAATACTGGGTGATCATTTTTTTAAATTAATTTCATATCACTGAATATTTATAGCAAATAAGGGATCTTGTAGCAAAGAAATGTATAGGAGTTTCTAAAAAAGAAAAAAGATTGGAGAAGAATATTCAATCTTAATGGGCATAAAGAAGTTCTTTTTGTAATTTTTTAAAGATTAAATGGTAACTTAAGGCTTGCACCACTTGGTTTAAGTTGTTCTCTGCCCTATTTTGTTTCACTTGGGAGGTATTTAATGCCACTAAGTGAAGTTTCAGGTTAACAGCGTCAAGGTAACTTATTTACTTTCATGTAGACCTCTGCTTTTTGGCTATAGGTTTTACCTATAATTCTTTGCAGCTACCTCATAAATGACTATTAATTGATCGCAAGAGTATATCATGGATGCTGCTGAGCCCAGAGGCATTATTGGAGTGAACAAGTTTATATTAACCATGCTTAAAATTTATAACATTTCCTGTTTGATATATTAAAATTTTATAGGTAAGATACTTTTCACTATTACACTTTTTGATATTTTTATCACTAGAAAAAAATGCAAGAATTGGAAGCAAAACTCCATGAAGAAGAACAGGAAAGGAAACGTATGCAAGCTAAGGCAGCTGAGGTAAGTTGAAATAGGATTACATAGGCTTTACATTTTTACTATTCTGGATATAAATATAGATTATTTGCTCTTTAGAATAGTACAGTATATAAATTCTCAGATATAATTTAAGGTAGAAAATTATGAACATATGTTTTAACAAAGAATGAAAATTTGAGTAGCTATTTAGCATGTTTCAAATTACACATAATAAAGTAATGTATCATATAAAACTTAGGTATCATGGGCACCATAGGAAATGATTGAAAACCAAAATTGAATCTCTTAGCTTCTTGGACCAGGAGCAGAGGCACATGCCTATACTCCCAACAACTTGGGAGGATGAGGCAGAGGGTCAAAAGTTTGAGACCAGCCTCAGCAACTTAGAGAGACACTGTCTCAAAATAAAAAATAAAAAGGGCTGTCACTGTAGTTCAGTGGTAGAGCAACCCTGGATTGTGCCAAAAACATACACACTAACATACACACATACACACACACATATACACACACGCTTCTTGGGCTGCAGGTATAGCTCAGTAGCAGAGCATTTATATAACATACGTGAGGGTGCCCTGGGCTCAATCCCCAGCACTCAAAAAACATATGAAAGTAAAGAATAAACCACAGATGTACTTCTTTTTGTAAGACAATCAAGAAGATATCAGTACAGCAGTTAAGGTAGTGAGTTGCCCAGTAGCTAGTGACTCAAACAAGTTCACAAAGTTACCACATCAGGAAAATGAACCTATTTTAAGTTTTTTATTTTTTTCTACAGTGGTAACCAGGTTGAATAGGTGAGGCAGTATGGATGCACAAAAACATTGAGAAATTTTTATGTATCAGTCACAACTGAATTTCTAGAGATTTAGATTTGAAGTAAGTCTTAAACTCAATAAAATATAACTTTTTGTGTTTTTTTAATTTAATTTTTTTTAATTAATTATGTGGTGCTGAGGATTGAACCCAGTCCCTCACATATGCCAGGCAAGCATGCTACCACTGAGCTGTGACCCTAGCCCAAACTTTTGTGTTGTTAACTGGAGACTACCCTTTTGAGGTTATTTGCTCAGATATCTCCCAGATATTATTCTCACTTTGCCAAGATCTTTAAGTTGATGACATTTATGTGTACCTTTTCTCAGTATACAAGAAGTGGGTCCTGATTCCAAAATAATTAGGAGTTCAACCTGGCAAAGTGTCCTGGGTTCACCTCATAAACGTGATTACAGGAATATTAATGTTTCCTATTCTAGTTCTCTGACTGCATTAATTTAATATATTTTCAAATATTTACTTTTGGTTAATTTTTAAACTGATCTATTTCTTCTCATTGTGCTTTCTGAGATATGTAACCCCATGGCTTTATTTTTGACATTCAACAAATTTTCTCTGCCTATTCTGTCTTTAGGGTAGGCTCCATGTCCTCTCTTGTAGCATGCAGACCTATGGATTATGCTGTATATACATTGTGGTTTTGAATCCACTATATACGAAATACAAAATTTTATAAGTTCACTATTTTATGAAGTTTAAAAATTAATTCATGATACCTTGGCTTTCCTTTTCATTTAGCTGACAAAAGTAAGGACCAAAGCACTTAACTGCTGAGTAATGTATTATCGGTAGAGGTTTTGAGTTCTGATAGAACATTATTATTGTAGAAAAATGACCAATGATATGTGGTTTGAAGTCTAGCTAATTCTAATTTGTATAATCTTGGTCAAGCTAACCAATAAGAGCCTAGATTTTTCCATTGATAAAAGGATCTTCATTTTATATCTTAGTTTTGGAGAGATCAGATGAGATAAGTGATAATGAAACCCCCCAAATATGTTAAAATTCTGGCACACAAATATAAGACAACTGCCAGGTATAACTAAATAAGCTAGAATTTTAAAGAATTCAGAAAAATTCTTTTGTTTTCTGTTCATGCTCATTGGCACAATAAGTCTTCTAGAGTAGTAATATTTTATTCATTATGTTCCATCTAGTCAATTAACTATGTATTAAGCGTTGTTTATGTGAAAGTGTATAAATACTCTTGAGGGTAGGGATCTCTGTATTCTTTTGTCAGTGATTAGATTATTTTCCTGACATGTATAGTCGTGGAAAATAATAGAAATGGTCTGCTTCATTTTGTTCAGTCCATTGCTTCTGAGTGTTTGTTACAATTCCATCAGAATTTTCTGGAGAACTTTTAAAATATAAATTTCTTTAACCAGGAAGTTTCAGAATCAGGTCTGAAGAGAAGCCTTGTAATCTTGAGTTTTTTTCAAATTCCAGACAATTTTTGATAGAGGCAGAATTAAAAGAATCGTAATTATAGACTGCCGCAGTCTGGCTGGGCACAATTCAGGAGCCACTTGTCAAAAGAAACGAACTTTGTTTTTAGAACACACACACCACACCACACAGCTCCTCAGGAAAAACCCTCAGAGCCCAACTGCCACCACCAGCTTCCCACAGGCCTCTCAACCTCCCCCACTCCTCCTGCTCTTGAGGCTGATTGGCTGGGTCATGTGGGCGGAGCCAAAAAAAGTCCCCCAATGAGCAGCTCCGTGGTCTGAAAGGGCGGGGAAACAGCCCAATGAGCATCACCGCAGAGGAGCCAATCAGTTGGCAGCTAGAAGTTGCTGGGGCCGCTGTGAGTCAATCATCAGCTGGCAGCTGGAAGTTTCCTGGCAGCTGGAAGTTTGCTGGGGCCCCTTCGGCTGTGGCTCTCAACATCTCCCCCTCTCTGTTTAAACAACAAGCATGTGGCTTAGGGACCATGCCTGCCTTAGGTTGTCCAATAGTACATATGGTCCTTACCCGTAATTGGATGAGCTGACCTCAAGGCGTCAGCCTCCTGTCTTAGGTTGGTACCATTGCAATTGGATCTTACCTGTTATTGACTACCGGTTCAGCATACAGCCACACCTGTGGATAGGTCTTTGTACCAGCGGGTGGGTGAGGTTCTTGGCCTCACCTCTGTTGGCCCCCAAATTTTAGCTGAACAACCATGAGAAGCAGAAGGGAGGAAGATACACCAAGCCAATTGACTGTTCCTTTTGGAAAAATTGTACCACCAATGACACCATCAGCAAAAATACCCCAACACTACCACAAGTCGCTGCACCAACAGATAGTTCACAATGCATACAAGTGAGTTCACAATGCATACAAGTGATACATAGTCCAGGGAAGTTCTGCAAACAGTTCAGTGGTGGCTATTGCAGAAGCTGTAGATTGGTTTTATCTTTGTCTTCACCGGCACTGGGATGAAGATAGGAATTCTGGCAATAATGGCTAAAGAAAAAATTATGTAACATTCCAGAAGGCACTAAAAGAAAACAATTTTCTTAACAATTTAAATTATCTTGAACAGAATTATTAAATATAATGAAAAGGAAAGGTGAAAGTAAACAAATAGATCTGTTAACCTCCTTTTTTGTTCACATTTTAAAACAATCCTCAACAGCTGTTTACCCAGTTTAAATTAAACCATTTAAATCACGTGAATAAAAAAAAAATTTGGATCCATTTTTTCATAAGCGCTCATCATATATGATATATGGATATACGTACATACAAACATACAACATAAAACACAAGTGTGCACACATAATATAATACATACAACACATAACATAATAGTAAAGGCCTTATAACTTTTTACAGGTGAAATCTCCATTGCAATGTTTAAAAACTCTATAGTCAAAAAATAGAACTGATCAGCAAAACATTAACCTAGGTCTGTATGAGCTCAAAAAACAAAATAGAACTTCATGATGTGGGAAAGGGTAATAATAAAATAGATATTGAAAAAAGCATCCTGGTTCTGTCGCAGATGTAAGGATAGCCAAACTGGAGTTTTGGATATCAGCTGTTATGGATTTGAACCAAATCATCTTCTTTTTGGTCTGTAGAAATCACTTTAGTTAATCTCTCTGGAATCCAAATCGGCTGCTGTTCTCCCTGTGGAAACATACAAACAGACCCCCAACTCCAGACAATCACTGGGTCAGGACCTTAGTTACTCTCTCTGGAATCCAAATCGGTTGCTGTTCTCCCTGTGGAAACACACAAACAGACCCCCGACTCCAGACAATTACTGGGTCAGGACCTTTCCATTGTCCTGTTAGAATATCCTTCCGAAGTACCTTAGTCTTATGTACATTTTTTGGACACATATGCCTTTCCGCAGAACTAAGCCCTGATGAATCCAAATTTAAAAAGTTTAGAGTAAAAAGGGTTATTTTAAGTTTATCTTTGGGGAATATATACACCCCTTCCCAATTCCCTCTTTTTTGCTTTAATAAGTACATTTTAATAGTTTGATGAGCTCTTTCAACTATGCCTTGTCCCTGTGGATTGTATGGGATTCCTGTTATATGAGTAATGCCAAATGATGAACAAAATTGTTTAAAAGAGGTAGAAGTATAACCAGGGGCATTATCTGTTTTTACTGTTTTGGAACGCTCACAGTGGCAAAATTTTGTAAGCAATGAGCTATAATATCTTTAGTTCTTTCTCCGGCATGAAGGGAGCCCATCAAAAATCCAGAAGAAGTATCAACTGTAACATGCAAATATTTTAATTTTCCAAATTCTGGCAAGTGTGTGACGTCCATCTGCCAAATATGGTTAAGTATCAGTCCTCTAGGATTGATTCCAAGATTAACTTGTGGTAAAAAGGTCACACAATTTTGACATTGTTTTATTATTTGTCTAGCTTGTTCCTTAGTTATTTTAAAACGCTTTTGTAAAGTATTAGCATTGACATGGAACTTTTTATGAAAATTTGTAGCTTCTTCTAGTGTAGAGAAAATATGTATGTCATGTGTAGTTTTATCTGCTAAATCATTGCCCAAACTAAGGGCTCCAGGCAATCCTGTATGTGCCCTGATATGTCCTATAAAGAATGGATCTTTTCTGTCCCAGATTAGACTTTGTATAGTGGAAAGCAAAGAGAAAACAGTAGAGGAAGGGGAAATCCTACCAGCATCTTCAAGGGATACTATAGCATTAACTATATAC